TTACTCAAAAAAAAATAATATATAATTTATATATCACTTTGAAATTTATGTTTGTTGTTGTTATTATTGTTTTTTTTTTAAAAATATAATAATATTTATTGATTTATATTTAAGATTAATATATAAATTGTTTTTATTTTTTAGACACAGTGATGGAAAAACTGTATTTTATTATTTCAATTTTATTTTTTTGTTTTTATAAAAAAAAACTAAATAAATTATATAAAGATTTTGTATATAAAACTAAATAACTAGTGTTTTCTTATCAAATTATTTTCTTACAAAAAAATAAAAAAAATAAATTTATAGTTTAAAATTATTATTATCCTTAAAATATTTATATATATATATGTATATTATAATCATATATTTAAATATAATATATATTTTTAAATAAATAAAAAAAATATTTAAGTTAGTAATATTATTATAGTTTTAATATATATATATAGTTATATAACTGATATATAATTTTCATATACGTGTTAATAATATATACTTTTTTTTTTGATTAGTTTTTACACTAATTTTCTGTCAAAAATGTGTCAAAAATTTTTAATATAAATGCAGAATATATTTATTTTGTATATTAAGTTTTTATATTTACTAATATATATATATATATATATATATATATTAAAATTAGGAAAAAATAACACATTTATGTGAAAATAATTTACTAAAGTAAACGAAATTTGCATAAATATATTAAGTTTTTTTTTCGTTGATAATTAAACTTTAATTTATATGATTTTTACTAATAAGTTGTTAACATATTTAATAATTTATTTTTTTTAATCAAAATTATATACTAAATCAAAACAACAAATAAAAATTCATGTAATATATGTTACACTAATGTAATAATTTTTTAATTAATTTATTAATTTATTTAACAAGTAATTACTAATTTATTATTTTTGTGTGTTTATTATTAATATATTATACATATTTCTAATCAATTGTTAGAATAGTCAATAATTAATGTTTTTTTTTAAAATTCAAAACAAACAATTTGTTTGAAATATATCAATATTTTTATAATTAATGCAAATTTATTGTATAATAATTTAATTATAATATATTAGTAACTTTTAAAAAATACACACAATATGATAATTAAATTGAATATTTATATATATATAACAAATATTTTAAAATATAAATAAATAAAGACACATATTATACAACTATTATTATATTATAGATATAATACAGTACTTTATATAATTATAATTATAAAAATACAAAATTTATAATTTATACTAATATTATACTAATATTATACTAATATTATACTAATATATATATATAATACTAATATATAAATTATGTAATAATTTTTTAAAATAATTTATTTATTAAATATTAAATAATATAGTAGTAGTTGTTATATATATATATAATACAATATATTTATCGATTAAATAGCAATAAAAGCAAAAAAGTATTTTTCACTAAATAATTGATGAGTATATACAGTATATACTTAGTATATATATATACAGTATATATATATACAGTATATATATATACAGTATATATATATATATTTAATATTTTTTTTAAAAACCAAATATTAAATATTATATAATATAATATATTTATGTGTGTGTGTTTGTGAATATTATATACAATATATATATATATAAATGGTTCGCCATTTAAATGTTTATATTTTGCTAAAGTTTGCACAAAAAAAATAAATTTATTTCAATAATACAGTGAATTACTTGAGAAATACGTTACTACAGTCTATACAATATATATATATATATATATATAGTATATGTAATAACATTATATAAATAATACTATTTTTATGCGAATAACACTCACACACACACAAAAAAACCTTAAAATTTATTTTACATAATATATATATATATATATATTGTATACAAAATTTTAGTTATATATATAGGGATATACCATATATTTTTGTTTATATATACACAACAATACATGTACTGTAATATTGAGATTGTGTTGTATTTCTTATATATATAAATATATATATATATATTATAAAAAACATTCATTCATTCAAATAGTTTAGTGTTTCACATATGAGCCCAAAGTGACTGACAATATATTTGAGACAATTTATTTTGAAACTAAAAAAATAAAATAAAGTAATAATAAAAACATATATATATATATATATATATATATAGTGTGTATATAATAACATTGTTATAGTATTTGGTTATATATATATATATATATTGGATATACAACACTATAACAGTCAAATCCAATAGAAATTTATTTATTTATTTTTTTAAAAGTAATAAAATATTTATATACATATAGACCACAAAGTTATTTCAATATTATTAATATTATTCTAATTTTTTTATAGATATAATAGAAAAAATTTAAAACCATTTTTTATTTATTCAATATCTATAGAAACAACTAAAATAAAATAAAAATAATATTTTTTATTTATTATTATTATTTAATTTATTAATAGTTTTATTCAATTTCATAATAA